TACTTATTAGAGATATTATTCAGAGCTGGTCGAAATTAATGTTTCCGAGAATATTTTTCGTATAAAAGAAACATATCACCGCATTGACAGAAAAATGAGCAACTTTTCAGTAGACACTTTATAAATTCTGAACTGATAACGTTTCAATTAGAATAGTGATGATTCAATTAGAATATTTCAGTTTATCCTGTTTCCACAAGTATGATTGATTTATTAAAAATTACGTACCTTCTATTTCGATCTATATTACAAGATATCATTCAGAGCTCGTCGAAATTGACGGATGAAAAAAAAATGTTTTCGAGAATATTTTCGTATAAACGGAACATGTCTCTTTATTGATAGACAAATGGCACCTCTCAAAATTAACAATTTTTTGGTAGAACATTCAAAAAATGCACTAATAACATCAGTTTCAGTTAGAATAGTGATGTTTCTTTTCATATTGTATTTCCAATTATAACATATTTAATTATAATTCTTCAAAATTATGTCATATGAGTTTTTTAAATTTGACTGTTAAGAGATTTTATAAACTGTGACCCTGTTATAGCATAAACTTTATCCTGATCTCTTATCAGAACTGTGAGACAGACACTGTTTCATATAAATAATTAAATGAGCAAAAAAAAAATATCGTTTTCCCACAAAAATATTTTAGTCTTTAGAATCGATTTTCCTTTATTATTCTAAAAATGCTAATTTTTTAGTTGTATCATTTTTCTATTAACGCGTTTTAAAATAAACAACGATATATAAACAAACAAAAAATGAAATCAACAAACTAAATTTACAATTAAAGCATTGCAAATTGATGCGAATATAGTAAAAAATTTACAAATGATTAATAAAATCAGAAGTGTAAATGTGCGTGTGATGATACTATTAAGGATTTTAAAAATAATTATAAACAGGATAGAAAAATATTTACAAATAAACACGTTACAAAGAAACACGTAATGATCAAGAATTTAGAATAATACAAACACAGCTGTGCATAGATATTCAATACATATTCAAGCTGTAATTGGTGGAAACCGCGGTTTGTTTTGTTGCATCGAAATGATAGTACGCGGATTTCAAAACAGTCAAAAAATTTTCTCGTCTGTCCGAGCGGAGTCATAAATAATTTTGCGATAGATTCGTTTCACCAGTGAAAGAAAAAGCTGTATGGACGTATACGTAGAGTCGAGGCGACGTTCTAACTCGTAAAACTCGTTAAACAATCAAAGAGAATAACCGTGGTGATTCATGCTAGTGTGACGCAAAAGGGATCTTCCATTCGTGACACGGTACAAAGGTGACTCTTCCTGTGATTTCAAGTTGGCACGTATTTATGAAACTATTCAGAATGAATTCCGATCGGAATTGTTCAATTATTCTCTAAATTTTTATTAGGGTGTGATACACAATTTCAAATATGACACAACTAAATGAAATAAGATTTTGATTCAATTTTCAAAGTTCAAATTATTTTTTCCCGTTTGATACTGTTACGTCCAGAAAACTCCCACGATTTTCTTTTTCGTGGAGAATTGAAGTTTGTTAAACTTTTCCAATGACCCGTTATGATAACCAAACTAAAATCCACGAGAAAAGACTTAAATAGTAATAAAATCTCCCCTTTTAAATAAAAAATCTAGTATCTGCTTTTCTATCCTCATAACTGTCATTCAAAGAAAAATAAAAGAAAATGTGCACTATAAAAATGCCGAAATCTCCTCAAACGCCACGGAGTGGTGTAAAAAGAAATAATAAAGGAATAATAAATATACCTATTAGAGGGACGTCCCTAACGTCAAGATATTTTCTAACGGTCAAGTCGCGGACCGATTCCCACGGATTCGGAGTCCGTGATCGTAAAATCGAGAAGCGACACTGAACGTGTACATTTCTCAACGCACCCTCTGCGCATAACTTTAAAGAAAGGCGTCATAAAATGAAGAATGACTTGCCTACAGATGTCATTCTTACATAAGTCATATGAACAGATTTCATTCTTCGGTGTTAATTATTATATTAATCAATATCTTCTTAAAAAAAGGTAAAAAAAGGCGCTAAGAATATACGTGCTTCTCGAATAAAATCTAAGTGTCCAACCTAATTGATAACAGTTTTGATTCTTCTTAGTCTAACCCAAGTAATGGCAGCTTTAATTCTGTCTTCTTCCTCTTCTTCTTCTTCTTAGGTCTCTGATCTGTGTTACACCTCTTTCATATGGTTGTGGTGCGCTGATTATTCAATTGCCACGACCATATGGGACCTATAATTTCAATGCCGGTTCCAAACGGCGGATTTTTTGAAAAGTGTTTCTATGGGCAAGGATACTCTTGGGAGATTGCTGGCTTTTCCGAGAAGAGGCACGAGCGTAAAATGTTTTGATTCCTACTGGGATCGAACCCGGGACCTCTGATATGATACCAGTGAGCTATCTGCCATCTCACGCTTCTAATTCTCTGTCAAAAATTATTACTCCTTGAAAAAATTAATACACCAAATTGAAAAATTAAACCCCAGATGCTACAGTCTTAACTAATCAAGTTAAATTCTATCAAATTAAAATAAAAAGTAAAACCCAAGCGGTACTATCTTCGTTATCTACTTAACTCTAACGATATGTATCATTCGTACAAAAGATTTGATGTCAATAATTAGTGCCAAGTTAAATTCCAAATTAAATAAAGAATACAATCCATAATTGTGTTACCTTATTCAAGTGTTATCACATTTTTTCCAATCGGAATTCATTTCACGTTCTGTTTCATGCCGTTCTGTTAACGATTTTCTTGTTTTTGTCTTGATTTCTGGAAAAAATCTATTCCTGAGAAATCTTGCGGAAAAATCTCCACTCTGTCTCTCGTTATAAATAATTAAATACTTCTCTCGGTATAAATAATTAAATACTTCTATTTACAATTCGTTACGTGTGTATTCGTTATCGATTACTATATCGGAAATTAACTACGATGATTGCACGACCAACAGCTTCTTGGAAAAATGTGGACGAAATGAAGTCGTCGTCGATGACGAATCCGTCAACGATCATTCTACAACCAGGCACGATTCGCGATAATCGAGCGCGTAAACACGAATATAATATGCTATATACGTGTGACGGTACGTCAATTTTGCCATCGTTTATCTCAAGTTTAGGCCTGAACTTCTTTTCTTTAGCTGAACTTCTTGCATGATTCGTCTTTCCTTTTTCTTCTCACTTTTTTTCTTTCACATTGGACAGTAAAAGAGAAAAGATGAACCGTGCAAGAAATGCTGAAAAGAATAGATCTTTCTTTTAATTCTCCCTTGGGAGAGGCGCTGCAGGTTTTTTAAATCTGGTCTCTCCGGCGTCATTCTCGAGCAGCCTGCGCGTCGTACGAGCGACGCATGCGCGCGTCTCTCCCCCCCCCTCTCTCCTCGCCCCGTCACGCGGGTCTATTCGTATGTAGCCGGTATTAATCAATCACCTGTTTCACCGTGTACGCGATTCTTTCTTTTTACGCGATCAACTACTGCGCACATGAGGATCCCGACCGGTTGTGAAAAAACGAGCGCAATAAAGGAGAACGTGAGTCGAAAACATATTTTGACGTGTCTACTCGCTTGGAATGATGGGACACAGAGTGTGTATTGCAGTGAGTGAATTGTAAAACGATGAGTAATTAATTTCGAATCGTCGCGCAAATGTCTCTGCTTGAAACGGAGAGCGATTCTCTCGGCATCGTAATGAGAAATCGGAGTAGCGTTCGTTAACTTTTACAGGACGGGAAAGTCATATTGGAACTGAAATAATATTAAATTTTGAGACGAGAAATACAATTAAATAATGAATTATACGAATTTTATATTTAAGGAAACTGTAAGATTTTTAAAAATAGAGAGAGACCCCCCCATCCTCTAAAGGTTAATTGAGGATAATAATAGCATATTTCGAAAACGTATATATTTAATGTGTAATATAAAAAATGCTTTCCAACAAGAGACACAGAATCACGCGTCATGTATCATTTTATTCTTATTGTAATATTCGAATATTAAAAAGGGATAAAATGACACATCATGCGTGTCAATGCGTGAACGCATTCACAGATGACATAATGTAACACCATAGATCTGTTTTTTATTCACTGCATTAGACTGCACTAGAATTATCTTTTTTGCTTTCGCCAAGTATCAAACATACAATTCATTTTACTTTCCAAAATTGTATACTAGTTTATCCACAGAAAACAGACCTAATGAATCATTACATTCTTGATAGCTAATATCAAACAAAAATGAAATAATCACTGCGTTACACTGTGCCGCTAGGCTGGAAAGCAAACATATAGTGTTTGCGAAATTAGTGTTTCAAAATTGATTTTACATGATTTAAATAAATTACATGATGAATGTTAAGGGCGGAAGGGCTTGTAGCGTTTTTCATTGAACTCTACGTACGAATCTCAGTACGCACTTAGTGCACATTAAAGCTGTTGTACACTATTCTAATCTAAATATAAAAGTGAGATATCTCAATTGATAAAGTGCCCAGTTATTTTATCAAATGGCACAATAAAATGTATTCAATATTTCGCGATTTCATACGTTTCTATATTTTTATCAAACGTACATCTTTATATCGATTTGTGTACGACTTTAAAAGTGCACGTATATACACAACAAGTATAATGTATAATGCATAAGAAAATAAACCAAAGAAAATGAATCAAAGTCCTCTCTTCTTTCCATGGAATGAAAGATTGATTGACTTTTTGATGACTTACGCAAAAATCTGTGCTTCTGCCCTAAATCTGAAGCGCCACGTAACAAATCTTCCATTATCGCGGCGCAGTCAGCGTTAACTCCGCTTAAACATCGTCGTCGGCATGGTCGTCGGAGAAATGTAAACAAAACGTATCTCTCGCGCGCGCGCAAGAGAGACGCGCGTTTACGCGGAAGCCGCGTGCCTCGTTTATAACGTCCGTGTCGCCGTGATTTTCCTTCAGTCACCGAATCGCACGCATTACGGCGCAGTTTGACTTCGCCGGCGGTTCTACTTCTTTTTTTTTTCCTCCTCGCATATGTTTCGAGCGCGAAACACGTTTGAAAAAAAAAAATTAGCACTGTCGCGCAAGCGCACATGTCCGACGTCAGATTTCGCCGTGTCTCCGCGCGAACTTTCTGCTCCCGCAACGAATATCGTGCTCGTTATCGGGATACGTTATCGGGCCATCGCGTTCGCACGCAGATCGCGATAACAGGCGATAACGCTCGACGAAGTCAACAAGGTCCCTCGCCGGAAACGTCGCATCCGCGTCCTCACGGTAAGACGAGTCCCTCGCCTCGCCCGATGGACAGGTCATACTGACCGTCCCGGAGAAATTAGGAGGTTAGGAAGAGCGAGGTCGCGTTCAATCCGAAAGCAGTAGCGGGATTTTCTAACGTCTTATAGACGATTGTCGCTATCGCTGGGGGCAATCAATGAGGGTCTTTTTTCCAGGATTGTCCTTGCCATTGGCTGTTGATCGGTGATTAACAATAGCGACAATCGTCGATAAGACGTTAGAGAATCTCGCTACAGGACCGGCTGAGACGACGACCCACAATTGGGTTTGATATTTTTTTCTTGTAAAAAAATTTTCCTCTTGTAAGGTGTTTCAATAAAACAGTTGTTCCAATGCAAGACTTTTTCGATAAGAAATCTTGAAATCAAATTCCTCCGCTTGATCCCTGTTGGACGAGCCTTGCTCCGAGATGTCTCTCGAGACTTCTTTACAAATTGGAGATAATTGTACGCGACCGGCATGCGTATAGTAGATATACAGGGTGTCTCAAAATTATTTGTTTGATAGTATATTCTATGAACTAAAATAATAAAAAAAAATATTAATAAAACAGAGGTATGTTTTATTAATATTTTTTTTATTATTATAAAAAGTTATTAAAAACATATAAAATGTATACAGAAAAAAAATAATTTTATTTATATTTCAAATTGCCATCTGCGGTGTCTGCCTATATCAATATAAGTTTTACATTGATGTGATTTTGAATTTATTATCTCTTTTAGCGAGGAAATTTCCAGAAGGGTTTTATCTATTCTTGCAAAAAAAGAAGGTAAATTCAAAATTACATTGACGACTTATATTAACATGAGCAGATTGTGATTTGAAATGCAGACTTGATAAATTGTTTTTTTTTATATTTTATATTTTTTTACATACTTTTATAATAACTTTTAATAAAGCATTTAAATTTATTTAAAAACCTATGTTATATCTTTTCTATTATTCCAGCTCATAAAGTATACTATCAAATTTTGTACGAGAAATTCGGGACACTCTTTGTAATGTA